GTAGTCACCACCCCCCCCCCCCCCCCCCCCCAATTTTGTGCGTTCCGGCTGGGTGACAGGACAGCTGGCTGCTTACCTCTGCTGACAGGCGCTGGTACCCAGCCACACAGAACAGCCCATCACAGGGACACGTCTCCTGCCAACCTCTCCAGATCCTTTGATATTTCCGACAGCGCAGTAAAGGACTCTGACTCTCACATTTTACCTCGCATCGCTCAGCTCCTCTAAGGCTGCCCGGCTTTGTTTCCATAGCTACACCCAATCGCATCTGCCTTCCTGTGAAATTGGATTTCAAAGCAAGACAAGCCTTCAAAGGAATTTGTCCATTTAACAGAATATCATTAGGAGAGAGCCTGTCTGCTGAACTTGGGACCTAAAATGATTAAGGTGGGGCTTTTATCATGTAGGGAGGCAGCTTTACATCTAGGGCCTGTAAAGCTTGATGCTACATAACGAAGATGCAGTGGAAGTTGCTGGTCACTGCCAGACTCCCCCTTCTCCTTCCCAGCTGACCACTAAACCGAATTTGTAACCTATTCACACATGCAAAAATGAAAGTGGCAAGGAAAATGGCAAGGAAAAAAAAAGGTAATTTGCCTGGGAATTGCAAGGTAAGGACTGGATCATGTACACTTAACCTATGGGAAATCTTAAATTGGTCTCTGGAATCATTGATGAGCTTCAGCTAAAGAGTCTGTCTGGCTCTGCGTGCAGCTGAGTAGGGTTGAGTGGAAGGCTTTGGCTTGGTGCTAAGGCTTCGGGTAATAGCACCTATGTCCCCGTGGCAGCTGAGGTTCTATGCTACAGTATTCCTCAGTAAAATGGATTTAATAATAGCAACTGCTGCTGCACGGTCAACTTGGTCTTAACAAAATCTTCCTGTAGGGCCTGAGGGGAACATTCTAGGTGCTGGGTCCTGTCTCCGGCTACCAGGACCATGGGATGGATGTGTGGTCCCGGAGCAGCCAGGGTGCAACTGTGCCAGCCTCCACACATGATGCTGTTTTCAATGCTCTGTGATAACGTTAAGATCTGTAGCAAAAGACCAAAAATCACAACTGCAATACATCTCAGAAGTTGAGCAGAAGTGATCTAGAGCTTTACTGATGCTGTAAACACTGCACCAGCAGGAAATTTCTTGGGTGAAATCCCCATATGCTCTTAAGCAGTGATCACACCCAAGGCAGCAAAGGAAAGCAAAACCACAAAAAGCACCTGCAAAACAAGTCACTGCTACTTTGACATGAGGGAAAATTTCTTCCAGACCCTAAATATGTCAAATTGGTTTAACTCTTGGGCAAGACTCACTGACCAGGTATCTTCTAGTTCACTCTACAACACTATGCTTTCAGACTAGTACGTGAGCTACAGAAACGCAGAGAATGTGTGAGATGACCCTTTTCTTTGCAGTTGCATGAACGTTTCTTCCTCTGAGATTTGCATTGATCAGGTTTTATTGATCTTTCTGGCATATCTGAAGGCAGTTGCTTCCATCTAAGAGACCTAGTTCATTCCTTTATAAACTCATTTTTAAAGTTAGTCAGTCTCAGCAAGCAGCTGCTTTTTATTTGTAGTCTGTAATGAACTGACTAGGATTTCTACACAGAAGTGTTTAAATATTTATCCCTAAACACCTCTAGGTGAGAACACGTACACAAATCCATCTACCGTACACATCCACCTACAAGCACTACCATTTCTTGCATACAATCAGAACCACTCAAACATGTCAGGAGCCATAGGCAGGTAACAGAGCTTCATGTTTTGCTCCCATAGGAGAGACTAAATTTTCTAAATCCTGACTCATGAAACCCTACCTGACCAGGAGATGTAATGGGGAAGACTGCTGCGATGTATGCAAGGCAATCTCCCATGTGAGGCCCTCTGAACTGCAACAACATTTCCTGTGCTTTAAGACCTCTGCATCCGCTGAAGAGCAATTTCTTGTACATGTCGTCCTAAAATCAAGAACACACTGCAGCGGTGCTGTCGATGTGGGTGAGCCCACGCAGCGGAGCACACGGTAAAGGGGGAAGGACAGAAATGGAGTCAACTTACTCAGAGTAGGAAACCTCTAAGGTCTGGGTTGGTAACGTCAGATGTGCAGTCTGTCTCCAGGTTATTCTGAAATTACATGTGCTTGCAGAGCACAGCCAAGTGACAAATCAGAAGTGGTGGTGTGTTTCTTTTCCCAGATCTGGAGAACAATTGAGCCTCCCTAAGCAGGAGAGAAAACACACTGTCGTCTCTTCTTGGTGGCTAAACCCCAAATGGCAGCTGCCACTTCAGCATTACCACGCAGAGAGACTCTACACAGAAAACAGAGCAACGTTACTTCTCCGGCAAATCAGCTGCATACACTAAACGTGCTCGTAGTCATGGTATCGTCACTTCTCCTTTAAAGCCATCCCTTCTTGACAAGTGTTATTTATATGCGAGTTATTGAGGTGTTGTCTGCATGCATAAAAGTACTTATTTCGACAAAAAGGTCCCAAAAGAACTTTGCAGCTGCTCTGGGGAGGTTCCCCTTTCACTCCACTGTCCACAGTGGGACAACGCGCTAGAATTGCAGGCACACACCCCAAACCAAAAAACACAAAGCACTGCGCTTCATCTTATATGTGTTCTTTACCTGATTTGTACTGATCAACTGGAAGCATAACAGAGTCTTTTCCCTCGTTTCACCCACACCTCAGAAAGTGGGCCACAAAGCATATTAGCGGCTGATAGCACACGGAGGAGCATCTCTCTCATAGATTTCCATCATTCCCATATCTTTGCCAGTATAGCTCTTGTATCGCTTATGTGAGATAAGCCTGAAACACGCAGATTGACTTGAATGAACCAAGCAAGAAGCTTGGGGCAAATCTGGAATCTGCTCCAGGTTTCCCTTGTCCGAGGCCCAACAGCTAAACCTTTATTCCATCCAGGTGATACATCCAGAGAATCCGATTCTGCAACTATTTGGAAATACGCTCGGCCTCACGACATGGCACCGTCCCGCTGAAGCCAGTGGGACCGCACTAAAGTGTTTGCTTATCTTTGTAGGCTGTGAGCCCGATGCACACTTCTTTTTTTCTTTTCCCCTACAGATTTTGCTTTGCCAGCTTGTGATAATTACTGTGGCAAGCTGGTTTGGACAGCAAAGCAGTGAGAAAGGAGTTTTAGCAGCCTCCTTGGAGAATTCGGAGTGGCTCTGCCTCATCACATTATCGTACACCTTCGTACCCAGCCCTGGCTCTCTGTTCTCAGGAGCCTGTGTTGTGCCCCACTGAAAGCAGCAAGCACTAACTTTCATGAAGCTCTGTGGTTTTGTATTTGCGACCGACAGAGCTGGATTGCATCCTTTTTTGCCATCTCTAACATTTGATATGTTGGGAAAATATAATTAAAGATCATATGCCAGGCATAAAATACTAGAATAGCAAAAGTGGCAAGCATGTTCACAATAACCTTTTCTAGGTACTATAATAATAAATAGTTGTTTGATACCAGGACATTGCAAAGTAAGGACTGGATCCTGTACACTTAACCTATGGGAAATCTTTAACTAGTCTTTGGAATCATTGATGAACTTCCGATAAAGAAGACCACCTTTGGATTTGTCAATATTGAGCCTAAAGTTTGGGAATGCACAAATGAAAAGTAATAGTGGCATCCTCATAGTCAGCTTGCGCTAATTCATTTATATAGGAGAGGTGCAGATGCAGGGCTGTGGGTTAATCTAATGCAATGCCATTTTTGCTTTGTAGAGCGCAGTTTGCATTTATTGCCTGTCATAAAGCAAGTTAAAGTGCACAACCCTGCTATTTCTCTGGGCAAGACATAGAAATATGAATGGCTATTACAATCTGGCCCCCTTCCTATGCAGGAAGAGGGGAAGTTTTATTGCAGAACAGCCAAGTACCATTCTCTTCCCCTGCGCATTAGAGGAGGGGGCCTGCCTGTGCCTGGAACAGCTCCAGTCCCCGACTCCTGTTGTGCTGCAAACAGGCACAGGAGGTGAAATCGATGGCCACAGGGCCTCTGCTTTGCCAGCAGGTGTGCTGAATTGTGTGATAATGAGGGAGATGCACACCTAAGTGCCATCAGATTAAAATGCTAATGCAGGAGCACAGGTTCAGCTGTGCTGTTGCTGGGGTCGGGCAGTTCTGCAGCTCGTTGGCTGGAGCACTGGTTCCCCAGAGCGTGGAGGTGCTGGGTGGCCGGGGGACATGGGCATCCTGGCTGCCTGAGAGGAGGTAGGTTGAGCTGGCCGGGGCTGTACCAGGAGGAGGCATCTGAGCGGAGCCCAGTGGTTCCTCCTACCTTTTTTTGGGTGTCCCCGCCCTCCCTGCTTCCTTCCTTGCTCTGTCCCTGCCTCTGAGGGACAGGAGCAGTAGCAGCAGGTTTGGCTCCTGTGGAAAGGAGGTGGCGGGTATCATGATCCCAGAGGAGATTCAGAGACTCCTGGAAGGTAACCACGAGTTCCTCCTTCCTCCCCTTCTGCTTAATGGGGGAAATCTGCTGTGGTTGCAGGGGAAGAAGCTGAAAAGCTTTTTGCACCCCACTGTGCTGAGCCAGAGAGGGGAGGGGAAGGACTGTGGGAGCTGCTGCTTCTCTAAGGCTGATGGTTTCAGGGTCCTCAGGTTATGTATGCCCTCCTTGTCTCTAACCCCAGTGAGAGTGTAGGGGACGTGGCTGCCTGTCTTGGTCTTTTTGGGGCTGTCTTCCTGTTGCTCAGGAGCTGGCAGGTGGGGCCGTGCCTGTGTTAGGGGTGGGGAAGCTCTCTGGTGGTTCCAGAGCCTGTGTAAGTAGAAGGGAGTGTATGTGAGATTGAGCAGTGTCTTCTGGCATGGTCAAAAGATGTCTCCACTGAGTGCTTTCGGTTAAGGAATTGAGGTTAGTGTCACCAGGGTGAGACAAGAGCGCAGGTACAAAAGGGAAAAGAAGCTTGTGTGCTGCAGGGAGCCCTCTCAGTAGGTTTTTGTTGTGGCTGTGGCAGTGGTGTCTCCTGGCTTTGGATGTTGTGCGAGTGCTGTGTGTCGCACCAGTGGTGCGATGAGCAAGCTATCTCGGTGGGGGTGCATCCTCAGCAAAGCTTCAACCCCATCAAAAATGGGGGTATAGCTGAGAGCAGTGCTGGCTTCAACCCCCACTTCTTGATAATATGAATGTGACCTCCTGACGCCTCAGCTTCTGAGGGAATGAGCTATGCTGAGAGCTGACAGCAGTGGCTTCTGTGTGTAAGATGGCAGGTGGGAGCTTCTGAAGTTGTTTTTTGTGGACTTCTTCACAAACTTGATCTGCAGCACTTCTAGTCATTGAAGCGGTGGGTCAGCCAAACAGAAACTGCTCAACTCTTCTATTAAAAGATGCTTCACAAACACCAACAGCTTCTGTACGGACCTTTGCGAACGTTGCTGAGCCCATGGTGTGGGAAGCGAGGGTTTGGTGAGAGAAGTGCCGTGCAGAGGTGACCACATCACAACCTGCCCATAAATAACACCCCGGCAGCAGCATTGCAGGCTGGAGCAGCGGTGTCAGCCTGGTGCCGAACACCACGTGCGGGCGTTACCGGCACATCCTGCTGTCGCAGATGTGGGGGGGAAGGAGTCACTAGCATCTTGTGTTCAGGGCTGGCCCCAGCTACCGCAAGGCTTGGTGACCTTTCGTTTCCTGCGGCGGAGGCTCCTGGCAGCTCCAAGCGCTTGCTCCATCCCCTCCGAGACGCGAGAGAACTTCCAGTCCTGGGATCTGTCAATCTGAGAGACAGAGTGTGCAGCCTCCAAGCCCGTCAAAGCTCACTTCCAAATGCTTTGTGTCTTCCCCCAGATGTAGGTGTAAATTTTCTCCTCTGTTTTTTAATCATGGGGGCTTCAGTGAAGTTCACCCTTTCACATTTTTGATGTGTGGCACTTTATTGTTCAGTGCTGACACTTTTGTAAACAACTCATTTCTGCACCTGCCACCTTCCTTTAACTTAGATTATTTTCTTGTTAGCTGACTGTTTTTAATTGAAGGCTTCAGATCTCCTTCTAAAGCACAGCCTTTGTTTGCTGACAAGTATAGCAGGCTATGAATGGAGATTAATTGCATGTCACATACCTCTGTATCAAACTTGCTGTGTCTTAACAATCTATACGGTCTTGAGGCCTTCCAGTGGCTGAGGAGGTTTCTAACTATGCAGGCTGGAAATGAAGGAGCTTAAGCTATTGCAGTGTTTGGAAACTGCATTACCGTAAGAATTCTTGTATTTAAAATAAAAATCACAAATAGAGGAGGAAACGTATACTGATGTACAGGCAATAACCTCTGCTTCCTTACATTAAAGTTTGGTCCGTAGCGCAGCACTGTTGAAGCGATGCACTGAAGTCGATGGTTTGCTGGTAACGGTTGTGTTATTATCACATAAGACATCTCTGAGGTTGCGGTGGTTGAAAGCCGACACAATACGGCTATTCTCTCCACACTGCGATCCTGCAACACTTACAAATGCTTGTTATTTTCTGTTTATGAGTAGATGTGGTTGCAATTATATTGCTTGAAGTTCCACCTTGCAAATAAGCAATCCAAGGTTCATAAACTCTGTGTCGTCAGTTCATGGCACAGTTTCGCCTTTGGCTCCTCACCTTTTAAAACTACTTTTGCTTAAGGGTCTCTCATGTTTGTTTGGCACAAATTTTTCTGAAGGCTGAAAGGGTGGTTCTAAGAAAAGTGATACATCTCTGACAAACCCAGGGCTTCTGCTTTGGTTTGGAGAAGGAAAAGCAGTCTGATGATCTTCCCTTCACCTGCCTCGCGCGATCCTCTGTGGTTCAGATGGAGGGGGG